AAAAATACTCCAAATGTTAAAGGCATCTTGGTTATCTGTACTTTAAAAGCCAGCTATATTCTCTGTCACCTTCTTCTGTTTGTGATCTGGAGTAAAAATTCATCAAAAAAATGAAATAGATTTGTGGAGATAAATCTTTTGCAAATTAAAATGACCCAAGAGATGGAGGGAGGGGTTGGGGACAGAATTAAGATGTGTCATGCACACGCACTAACGTCCTACAATGAACACAATCACTAACACAGCTCTACTCATTGAGCTGTAATTATCAGTAGTGAAAGTGTTTCCATGGAATAGAAGTTTAAAAATGGAATTGGAAATTTGTTTACTGACATAACTAGATTTACAGAATTCAAACCTTAGTCATCCATGGAATGATATGACTATATTGTTACTTAAATTCTCTCATATAGTCACTTGAAGTACAATTCCTGTAGAAGGTAAGACACAGAATTACTGAGTATCTGTTGCATTATAATTTATTGAATCAAATAGGCAAATGACTATGGGATGAATTAGTTGCTTCCAAATGTTGAAAAACTAATAAAAAGAAACTAATAAGATAATGAATTGAAATTCACACGTCCAGGGCAGGTTTAAAACTAGAAACCTTCCATGACTATCTTAATTAACCACTATTAATCACTGCTAAGATTCCTGAGTTATTAATTAACCACTATTAATCCTGCTAAGAATCTCGTGAGGATAATGCAACTTTAATGTGTAGGAACTCAATGTCAGAATTTAACTAAGAGGCCATATGTTTATAATTGCCAAGCACACCCTGGTCAATTGTTATATTTTCTAAATCTGTATCTGGACTCAGTACCAGAATATCCAAGAATAACAAGTAAAAATTGTGATTTGTGAGGTGTTATCATACATGCCAAATAATTACAAGATTTTACTAATTCATATTGACTGAATAGGGGTGTTCCTTAAGGGTGTTAGATTAAGGTAGAAAAAAATGTTGGGATTAGCCTGAAAGTTTTGATACTAGTGTACTGGGGAGACTGAATCCAGAAATTCTGGATTCCATGTGCTGGTATATAATTTTAACATGATAGAAAACTAGAACAAATGGTGTCCTATGCTGTACAAAGTTGAGATGCCAGACCTTCCTAGCTCTAATGCATTATACAGGAAGGCATAAGAACATTTAGAAATATTTTTAATGTAATAGATGTGCTCACATAATTATCTGTTAGCGACCCTTCACCAAGGCTCTAAATAATACATTGTTGAACACAATGTATATGAAGACAATGTATGTATAGGAATCTTTAGAGAACTCTATTGATATTGGAATGATATTGGAAAATACTGCTATGAAACTGAGCCTCTTGAATCTCGTGAGGATAATGCAACTTTAATGTGTAGGAACTCAATGTCAGAATTTAACTACAGAGGCCATATGTTTATAATTGGCACACAGACAAAGGACAAGAGAATCAAAATGGTAAAGGGAATTGCTGTAGTCTAAATGTTAAGTGTCATAAGGTGGAGCTTAATACACGTTACCATAGTAAGAGATGGAGATTTTAGGAGGTGATTATGTCACAAAGACAGAGGATTAGCATCCTTACATCTTTTTAGGGATTTCCTTGTGCTTGCCATCTCATGAAGACACATTTAGAAGGCACTGCCTCTGAAAAATAGATCCCAAATCTCCTGATTTGAACTTCTAGAACTGTGATACATTTCTGTTTATGAACTTCAAAGTGTGTTTTGTTGCAAATGGACTATGACAGGAATGGTTTACCTGCAAAAGTTTTTAGCATTGGCTGATTGATTAAGGAATCCCCTGAATTGAAATATAGGAGTATTATACTAAAGCCTTGCTTGATCTGTAGTAGCATTATATCTTTGTGCTTGGTGAAGACAAATCACCACCCAGAGAACTGTGCACTCTTGTTCAGTTTCCATAGAGAGCTACTTCACAGACCCACACATCATTGAATAAAAGTGAGGCCAGTTCTCTTTGGGGTGGGATCAGTATACACCATTCAAAATTCATCCTGTCAATCTATCTTCCGGATTTCTCCAGAAGGAATTTTCATGCAAGAAAACTGTGTTTCAGTGAGAAGCAACTAATCAGTCTTTTTGGTGTTTATACAGTTACTGACACTGAACTGATAAGAATTTGTGAAAACATCAAAATGTCATTGTAGCATCATAGTCAGGGGAAGAGATTACTGAAGTCAGATAATTTCACCAAGTTGTGACATAAATCTGTCTCATAGTGGCCCCAAGAATCTCTGAATACACCTACTCACAGACGTTGTCCTGGTTCTACAAGGTATATTTGCCACATACATAGTCTGACACTGACAGAACTACCACCCGCCCCACTCAGTCTCCTCGTGATTGTGGAATTGAGTCTATTGCAGTTATAATGGCAGTGAAGGACCTCAAACTGTCTGATTCCTGAACTTAGAAGATGAATCAATACTGCATTACTGCAAGAATTTTAGAATGTGTTCTACCATCAAGGACCAGAAGGATGCAAGTGTGGTAATTTTTTTTTTTTTTTCTGTCCTGAAGAGTAGATGAATTTTGGAAAGTTATTTGGTTAACCACAATCAAATGGTGGCTCCAACTTTGACTGAGCTTCTAGATATATTACCAGAGCAAAAGAATCTATACAAGGTGGATGACAGAACAATTTTAAATCCACACCTTAGTAAAAAATTATCAATGGCCATTTAATCTAGAAATTACTTTTGTATCTGACCTTAAGGTCATATCAGTTCTCTAATTCACAAAATCCGTGATCTCTGCTACACTGCATTGGAGATTGTAGTGCTCTATTACATGGATGACGTCATGTTGGTTGGACCTGCTGAATAGGAAGCAAGAGCTAATAACATTCCCTAGACTCCCTAATAAGGTTCATGTGTGCCAATGAGTACGAATTAAATTACTAAAGACTTAGAAACATCACACTTTGGTAAAATTTCTAGGATTCTGTGACATACTGAAATCTGCCTTCTAAGATAAAGGAAGGACAAGATTGTAACTCTTGTCAATCCTAAGGACGAAGCATACGGTCCAACTGGACTGCTAACTCAAATGTATGCTTCGTTTGAAAATTCTGTTTTCTAAAATTGATGAAGGAATACTCCCAACACTTCTACTTCTGTGCAGAGCACAGAACAAGAGGAGAGTCTGAGGTCACACCTGCAAATGATGCAACTATTATTTGGGCTGGATGGCACAGCAGGTAAGGTAGCACTTGGAAAAATTAGTGGTGCATAATGGTCCACTATGGAGCTCTGACAGGCTCACACTGGTAAGTCATAGTGAGATATACGGGATATCAGAGCAAAGGTTGACATTTCTCTACAAATAAATACTTTGCTTGCTACTCAATCTTTCTGAACGCTTATTGTTTCATCCTTGATCTCCCAATTCCATGAAATATGGGCTAGGTCATTATAAATTGAGTGATGTGTGATATAACCATGCAAAGAGCAGAACAATACCCTAATCATCAAGGGTACAAGATCAGTCTCGGGCACATTTTGAAGGCAAACATAAATTCCATGAGGAACTGTCTCTCACTTCTAAACCTCCTACTGCTGCATTGTCTCCTCTGGCTCAACCCACACCTCAGGTCTCACAGAACATTTCTTGTAAACAATTGACTGGAATAGAAAACATCTGGGCCCAGGCTGCTAATCATTTTTCACAATAGACTAGCACCATGAGGAGCAGAAAGCTGTAGATCTACAGCTCCACAGATGGAGATGGCCTTACATGAGAGTAGTAAGGAAAATTATTTCAATTAGAAAGACTGTGCATCAGGTTATTCACTTTGTCTGAAAAAAAATGGTTGGAGATAATGAAATACAGTAATTCTTTGGCTATGGATAATAGGTTGGCTGTTTTGGCAAGGACTTGTAAGCACCATAATTTACAAATCATGGACAAGGAAGCTACAGGTAAGGAGTACGTAGACTGACCTTCTTGAGTAAGTTACATACTTATACTTCATTTAACTGCTCACCAATAGCACCCTCAGGACATAAGGACAGCAATTATTAGACGGATAAAATGATGAGACCTATAGGTGCTCGTCATTCTCTCACACCAGTCACCTATATTTCTGACCAATGGGCTCATGCACAAACAAAGTGCTGTGGGGGATGGAAATTATCCATGGAGTCTTCAACATGGCCTTCCATTCACCAAGGTCAACCTAGCTGAGGATTCAAACTAATGATAAGAGACAAAATATACTTTTAATTTAGCAGTACTCTTAGGAAAGTGGTTTTAGCTCACCTTGCTTGTAGGTTGACTACATTAGGCAAGGTTCCATCATAAAAGAGCCAGTGGCTTGTTTTCACAGACACAGTCACTATAAGTGTGGATTTGCCTTTTCAACATGCAATGCTTTTGTCAAAAGCATTACTTAACAATTATCTCATTTACTCTTAGTATTCCACATAATGTTATTTCCATCCGGAGAATTTAATAGCAAACAAAATGTGGCAGTGGGTGGTGCTCTTGTGAATCTCTCACCATCCTCTCAATTAGCCTGAAGCAGATTAATAGAGTGATGTGATGATGTTTAAAAACAGACTTAGTTCTGGAATGCACTGGGTGGTCCGAGGTAACATTTTAAATGTAAGATGTGTATTTCCTGAATCATTGACCAATGTGCGGTGCTATTTCTACTGAAATTCATAGATTCAAAAGCCAAGGGATCGAATTGGGAACGTCTCCTCTTATTATTTCATTTATGTTTTTACTCCTATTCACTCACCATTTTTCACTAGATGTGGGGATATAGGCTAATCTTATATCACTGTAATTAAAAGATTTATATATGAATGAATAATTTAAAAACAAAATTACTCCAAATTAATAAATTAAAATGGTTAAGCCATTACTGAGTAAAGTGTCAAACACTGTGAAAACGCTAAGATTTTACTACACATTCAAATTATTAAGTTTCCCTGTTATGTTTTTAGAACAAAAGACCCAAGGCTCCTGGGTTACAGACAAAGGACTTTATTACAGCAATCTCAGTGCTCAGAGAATCTGTATTTTTTTGTACTGGTTCTCTGAGCACATTTTATACCGGGTACAATGAAAACAGTCAGGTGATATCTGTACATGCAGTGAATTATAAAAGAGAAACCTGAAAATTTTTTAATAAGAACTAAGCACCTTTGCCTTTGTTTCAGAGAAACATTATTTTGCATGATGGTTCACTATACAAACATTCTTTAGAAGATAATGTGGAACAAAAGCAGACAGTGTCTTTTCTTGCCAACCCAGGGAAATGTGAGAGACCTCTAAAGAAGCAGCTCCCGAAAGGAAGTTTCACATATTTTATTGAAAAAAAAAAGTCTAAGAAATCATGTGAATCACATACAATATCTTCTCACAGGAAAAAAAATTTAAGTTGGCTTTCGAACATTTCACAGAATTGTAAAACTTTTTAATTTTAAAAGGAAAGTAATACAATGAAACTACCACAATATCATCCCCCTTTGTGCTTCCCTATACCTAGGAAAAAGGCTTAAAAGTATTTAGTAAATTTCATAATTTGCAATCTATGTACTATACTGTTTCATAAATCTGCTAAACAGATACAAAATATGGATGATGGAGCAATGTTTTCTTTGTTCAAAATATTTAAAGTACTAAAATCTAATGACAACATGTTAACATAATACACATTTTTGTAGGATGTTACCATTTCTATAACAGTTTCTCTACACTATATCAACAGTGCCATGGTGATTCAGTGTAAATCATTACAGTGTTTCATTGTTACAATACTTGTGTTCAAGTACAGGTTCATGAACATGATCAAAGTCTCTGTTTGACTTTTTCATTATAAAAACAAGGTTAAAATTACAGTAGAATTTTTCCACGGATGTCCCTAAATCTTAATCAAATTCATAATACATTCTCTAAAATTCTGTTCAACACTATGAGGTTTGTTATGTTTACACATCTCCTGCAGATTACAGAAAATGGGCTAATTCTGCAGCAGGACACCAAAAAACAAAATAACAAAAACCCAAAATATTCCTCCATGTGTAACTAAACTATAATGCTAAGGTAGTATATATACTGGATAACTCAATGGTATTGGTGGAGAGAAAGTAGCACCTTAGAGACAGCCCTAACTTAAACCAAAAAAAAAAGTCTAATGATCGCTTTTTGTTCCTTTTTATTGTAATTAGGTTATTAGAACCAACTTATTCATTCATATAAAATTATTTATGAAGCCTTATAGCATAGATCAAAATGTCTGTATAACCAAAACACCACATGGGATGTTTGACAGGCAAAAAATAAATTAATTTGATTAAATTATATGTAATCTGATAATATTTGGTCTGAAAATCACGCTAGTGTGTGTGTTTATAAATACTGTAACACAAAGAGCTGTGAGCCAGCAGGCCAGAGGTCAGCTCTTTCGCTGTAGCTTTTGAGCATAGAAGTCCCTGCAGGTCTCACAGCAACGCTGATACCACCGCATGTCCTGACACAGATTCTTCTCACGTATCACTCGACAGTATACTGGCCACTGATCTCCCAGGCATTTGAAAGTCAGAGCAGCTGTAAAACAGAGCACATAGATTTAAAATACCTACGGATATCAGAGCTGTCATTAGCAGAAACAAGATTTTAGTGATTCAAATGTTGGTATTTTGTGCACTTATTTTGATTCATTTATATAACCTCCTGGAATATAAGAACAAAAAAATCATATACATATACAGAAACCCAGGAGTACAGTAAATAAGCAATATCTTTACTTATTGTTATTGTGTACAGCTAAATGTTCTCCTAAAATGCATGCACAAATAGTGGTACCTTTGGAAGTTAATTGAATTATAGGGGCATTTTAGTTGACTTGCTCTTGGGAAATGGATCCTGGTTGGAAAGGTGAGACACTAGGGACATAACCTAGAAGGTCATATTTCTCTTCTCTGCTCCTCTGTTGACTGAATGCTTTCCCAAAGCCAGGAGATAAACAGCTTCCCCTCTGCTACATCCTTTTGCCAAGCCATTCTACCGTGGAATCAACTAACTATGGACTAAAAACTCTGCAATCTGTACCAAAATAAACTTCTCCTACTTTAAATTATAGGTGTCAGATATTTTATGCAAGTGGTAAGAAAGTAATAAGACAGGGTTTTGGTAGCAGAGAATTGGGTCATTGCTGTGACTTATTATCTGACCAAGTGGTTCAGAAACCTTTGGAACTGGTTTGTGAGAGGTATTTCGAAAGGTTTAAGAGATGCCAGCTAGAGAAATTTTAGAATGCCTTAAGCCAAGCTTAAAGGAGATTCTAGTCAGAGCTCAAAACACCAAAATGCTGATAAACTAAACTTAAACTAAATGCTGATAAACTAAACTAAAGTTTCATTGGAAATAAGGTCACTGGCAGTTGGGTTCCAACAAATGTGTGTTGTGCTTTGGTAGAAAATGTGTCTACATTTTTCTTCATGTTCTGAAACTTTGTGGGAGACTGAGACTTAGCACAGCAGACTAATTAATCAAGAAGAAAAATTAAAAGGCAGTCCAATGTTCGTGCTGTGACATGGTTATTCCTTGTTGGTTTTAGTGTAATATACTATGAGAAAAAGGGGGGAAAAAGTCCGTGTCAAAAGTTTTCAGCTTTGGCACAAAGCAACTTTCAGAAAAGACGAAATAGAGGAGAACGTGTTTGCTAAAATGATTAATATTAAGAAGTACTTTGTCATAGGACAATTGAAAATATAGCTTAAAGGCATCACAGTAATCAGTATTCTTCTTTCTAGTCTACCTTTCCCGTAGACACAAAGTTGCAAAGTAAAAGAGTTGTCATTAAGAAAAGTGCCACAGGATATCCTGTTGGAGAAGGAAAATGCAACTCATGGTACTGATTTCACAATAACCAATTTATAGTCCTCAGACATATAGGCATTCAGAAGCCAGCCAGCCATGATTCAAGGGCTGGATACTGCTGCAGTTGGTGAAAGACTTTGGTATCAAGAGCTGGGGATTTAGCTCAGCGGCATAAGTGCCTGCCTTGCAAGCAGGCAGTTGTGAGTTTGATCCCTGGTACTGATAAAAATGAAAAAAAAAAAAAAGAAAAACAAAAACAAGATGATACTTTGGTATCATCTACAAGGTGTTGGTTTCATAGGCATGCAGAATGCAAAAGTTGTGGGGTCAGGAAGGCTTCCATCCAGATTTCAGAAGAAGGCTTGGGAGGCCAGGTAGTATGCCCCTAAGGGAACAGTGTCTGAGTGAAGTGAAGTGAAATGAATATAGTGGAACTGTGATAGAAATTGTGAGTAAAGCTGAAACTATAGTGGAGACCTCAGAAAAATGAAGAAGCCGGAACATAGAACACTGCAAGAAAGCCACAGGAATGAGTAAAGCCAATCCAAAAGAAAAGGTATGAAATCTGCAATCAACAGCAATATTTCAGGGCCACAGCCACCTAGGCTGTTTGGAGTTCACATTTCATCAAAACTTGTCCTAGGTGCTGGACACTGAATGGCAGGTTTGCCTTCCTCTAATTTCATTGGTTGGTGTCCTCCCATTGTCCCCTCTCCCCACCCTGTGTCATTCTGCTGGCAGCACTTAACTTTCTTTTGATTTTTACAGAGGACCACAGGTAAGGGTTTCTCCTAACTCTCAGAGGAGATCTTGGCTTGAACTTTTCAGCAATACTGAACATTACTAAAATTAGGTACCTCGGATTCAATGTGTGATATTGCTAAACTTCAATATCCTTCAGTTAATCTCCTTTTGTATTTTGTTAGAGAAGATTAAAAAAGAAAAAAATGTATTCAATATAACCACCTTCATAAAAATGCAAATTTATTAGTACTGCTGAGTGAAATTACAAAGAAATGGAAAAATAAAAATATGCTCACACTTATTTCACATTCCTGGGTTTTTGCACAGCAAGTGTGTAAAAATCAAAGTTGTTCATCACAAATGATTGAAATTTACAGCTATACAGTGTTCAAAATGACACTCTGATATAGAAAATTATCTTGCGGATTTGACCCTGATGTTTCAGAAGGAACAGTGTATTCTGTCATGTATGTTGAGTCAGTCTTGCTGCGTTTCTTACTTTTACTATTATTCAGCTCAGTATTTTACTTTTAAAAATCTGAGATTTTGGGTCTGGGGATTTAGCTCAGCGGCATAAGCGCCTGCCTTGCAAGCAGGCAGTCGTGAGTTCGATCCCTGGTACCGATAAAAATGAAAAAAAAAATAAAATCTGAGATTTTTCAACCATTTTACTTCCACGATTTGGGTATACCTTAAAGAAATAATAAAGACTGAAAATGCAATTTTAGTGAAATTATTTATTTATTTGTTTGGTCCTGGGAATTGAACTCAGGACCTTATGCTTGCCAGGGATGTGCTGTGCCACTGAGCAATATCCCTGGATGAAATTCTAAATTCTTCTCTCAATCCATTATTTTCTGACAAATGATAGTTGGACTTACAGTAATTACTAGAGAAAAGGATTATGCAGTCACTGAATACATGGTTTGGGCGCATCTGCTTTAGGATTGCTAAATTTTGTTTTAATTAGTCTTATTCTATGTGCAATGATTATTTCTTAGAAATGTTAATTATTTGGCTTGGAAAAGAGCATTTTTATATTTCCATGAAGAGTCAAACTTTTCCATTTCACTGAATCTTATGCTTCAAAAAGTACATATGATAAATCTTGTTTTTTGGTAATATTATTCTGTATGATTAAAATTGGTCTCCTGTAGATTATAAAACTTAAAACTAAAGATGTGAAGCATAAATTAGCCCACTAGCAGCAGGTAGGAGTGCTGTTAAAAGCCACTAATTGTCACAGAAAGAAAGCCTCGTTCATTCATTAGTATTTATTAAATATGTACTGGCTATATCTATATAAAATACATACTTGGTGGTAGTTCAGATCAAATAACATGAATTGAGCATAAATGTGAAAGTATTTCATGGCATAAAACTACATAAGTATCAAAATACCAGTAGTATCTGAAAATATATTATTCAGTCTTCCAAGATGATCATCAAAATACTTTTTGTTCAATGGTATGGATTTATACACCCATTCTTCACGAAAGTTCTTTTTAAAATTTCATGACTCTCCAAAAGATAATTTGTTTCCAGGATCACATGGAAATCTATTAACCATGGAGATATACTACAACCTCACTGTCCATTCTGTCATGGGTCTGCTCTGAAATTAAAACTTTGTTCCATTCTCTAATCCTTTACGACTTCCAGTGTCATGTGCCCAAGATTGTATTTCCAGGACCTGGTTCTTAGTGAACATCTTCAGGAATCAAATAGTTTAGGACTTTGTTTTACCCACAAGGCCATTTAGACTGAACCATATTTAAACAGATCCAGATAGAGCTACGTAACTAGCATACCTCTCAGATTTTAAAGTTATATGCAAAATAGGAAAAGTCGCAGGCATTTCTCTTACTAAAACTACCTACGTGTTGGTCGGCTTACCCAGTCTGGGTGATGTTATTGTATTTACATTAATCTTCTCATTGCAAGGCTGAAGGTGACATGGCCTGTACGCTGCAGGTTTTTCTGATGAAAAACATTCATTTCCGTGTCTTCCTGTGATCTTATGCATGCACTGGATAACGCGGGACTGCATTCCTTTGCCACAGGTAATTGAGCACTAAGAGAGAAAGAAAGTTTGTTAAGATTTCTTCTGCTGTTTTCCTTTCTTAGGCTGTGAGCCGTCTTCTCTGTATATTTCTCAAACATGAGCAACACCATACGGAGTTGATGTTAAACAATCAGAAAGATTAACACCGATGCTCTTAGCTTGGGCATCAACAATTCCTTTGAGAATCTCCAGCTGGCCTAGAGCAGAACTTGAGGGGTGGGAGCTGAAGGACACTAGAGGCTCAGGAAGGGAAATGAAAGTTGAGCATGTGACTTGAAGGAATGAATGATACCACCCTGCTTTTTGTCAGGCAGTTCTCCAGGGTCACGTTCCTGGTTTGTACCAAACAATTGATTTATTATTCTTTATGTTAGACACATATTCAAACTGTGGAGCTTAATCTTTGTTTATGTCTCTCATATCTGGTTGGCCCTTTTAATTGTTCTGGGCTTAAAATAGGTAGCAACATGCACATTTATCAACTTGATATATTTATTAACTTGATATATTGTTAAGATAATTCCTCTTTCTTGGAAGAGTACATGACATTCATGTTATGCTGATAAAAATATTCAAAACTTGGGTTTCTCTAGTAAAATGCACTTGTAGTGGATTCCTTGCTCTTCAGTTAAGTATAGTTTATATTCAATTCAAGGATATTTGTTTTGGTAAGAAGCATATTTGTTACATAATACTTTTTTACAGAGAACATTCTTGAACACATGTATAACATTATTTTTAATTTGTGACACAAAGTGATGCTAATTTAAGAAAATAAAATTAAAATTTTGTTAAAGATGCTCATTAGTTCTTTTTACTCAAATAAAATCTTAGTACATGATATTCTAAGTGAAAATTGCTAAATTCTTTCCAATAACCGTCTTTTAAATATACAGACTATTGAGATTTCTAGTGTTTATAATTGTCTCTATATAAATACTTATAAAGATCACATTCTCTACGGTATATTTCCTCTTTTGTGAGAACTAACAGGCTTATCTCTTCTTGTCTTCATTTCCCTAAGGATTTGTACAAAATCTTATTTCCTTCACACCAAGTCTATATTACTTAAATTGTCTTTAATTCCCTGTCTTCTAGTGAACCGCATATTAATTTGGCATGTAACAATTAAAATTTGTTTACATATAGACTCTCTCCTCATACAAAAATCATTGGTTCACCAGGACTTGTAAGATAAAACTCGGTACACCAGCGTCTTTGGACTATCATTTATCCACTTCATTACTACTATTATTTGCTCTTTCTGAGTCTCTCTATGTGGTCTAGGCTGGCCTTGAACTTTCAGTGCTCTTTCTGTCTCTGCCTCTCAAGTGCTGGATTACAGGTGTCCACTACCACACACCCAGGTCTACTTTCTTATTAAAAACCATATGTTTTATTATAGACTAATCAAGCCAATGCAATTTCTTTTCCCAGTTCTACAGTTGTGCTCATATTATTCATTATAAAATGCCTTGCTTCTTTTAAAAGCACAATCTCAATTTCATTTCCTTCATGAAAACATCTGTATCATCCCAACTACCTATGCACATTTATGTAATATTTACTGTTTACTCACACATTGAGACTACAACTCAGGAGAGATTTTTTTTTTAAAAAAAACTGGATACACACACATATATTTATTGCATACATAAATGCATAGCATTTCTAAGTCAGTGATATCATATGGGATCTAGTAGTCTGACTTAAAACAAGCAAACAAAACCGTTGATTATGCAATACAGCCTGAATGTGGAAATTACTGATCAAAGTATGTGCACTGCTTTTAATAACTAATTTGTATAGCTTGTTATCTTTAAATATTACCTTTTGATGCATCTAGTTTTCTGCTCAGTTAGATGGTAACTAGGACTAAGCCTGTCTACCTGTCACATTCACTAAAAAAAAAAAAAAAAAAAAAAACAAAAACTAACCATAAAATAATGGAATTTTATTCTGACATTATTAACATTAACATGAATCAGCAGATTACTGATCTGCTTTGTTTTGTTTCGGTGTTTTTGAGGGAGTTTTTGGTATGTTTTCCAAGCTAGTCTCAACCTGCTGGTCTCACGTGTCCCTCCCCTTCTTTCTATAAATAGCTGGGATTATAAGCATTTGCCATCATGCCTGGTTAAGTGATCTTCAAAGTTTTAATTTTTAAATATTTCTGCATAATATTCTTTTTGTATCTGATGAATTATTGACCTTCTATGAGAACTGACCATTTCATCTGGTCTTAGAAACCTCCATGTTAGTAGCACTTTATGACATGAGCATAGTTATCTAAACAAAGACATCATGCATCTTAGAACTGTTTTTTCAAGAAATGCAAACTAAACTAAACTAAGAGTTTTAAATAGATGAATCTGCCAGGTGTTGTGGTATATGTCTGTAATCTCAGCATTCGGAAGGCTGAGGCAAGAAGACTGCAGTGAGTTCAAGGCCAGCCTGGACTACATAGTGAAACCCTGTTTTAAAAGAAAAAAAAGATGAATTTAATCTGATAAGATAAAAAATGTCCTCAATATTTCAAAGTAACCCAACAGTCAGTCATAGCCTGGTCTTGATTATTGCATTTAATTCTCCATAGTTAAATCCAAGGATATGCAAACAGAAGTAATGTATCATTGTTTTCAGAATATCAAGAATGAAATAAGAAGACATATGATAATTCAGAATTATATGATATTAACAGATAATGGCTGAATAGTTCCTTTCATGAAAAATTGGAAAACAAAAGAAAACATGTTGTTACAGTCCTTGTATAATTAAGATTCATAATTATTTGGGCATAACCTGAAAATAACTGTATTATTGAAGAAATAATGAAAGTTTAGTAATTGGTTTTACTACAACAGTATCATTACTGCTTTTGACACTGATAGAAAAAGTGTCATTATTAAATTAAATTTTATAGTAGCTTTAATGCATAATTTTTCTAATGTTTCAATAATAAAAATCAAGATCTTACCAGTAGTACTAATCGTTTTTTCATAAAATATAATTCTGTAAAACTTCTATTACAAGTATGTGAAAAATAAACTGATATTTGAAATGGAAATAATAAAATTGCAAGATGTCTGCTAAATGAATTCTTATTTTATTGCAGAAAACAAACTCAAGAATGATCATAATTTTCCTGGGTTGATAACTGGGCATATATAATTCATTGTTTTATCAAATGACATCAGTATGATTTAAAACCAACATTTTTTTACTAAACAGTCAAAATAATTTTGGCCTCAAAATTAGTATACCTGACTTTTAATACTACATCTAGCAAGTAATATACCTGGGGCTTATTTTTCCTTTGTGGTAAGTAAGGCCACGCATCATAGCCACAGATTTTGGTCTAATTTCTGTTGAAGTAAAAACCTCCAAATAATTAATTATTCTATATTATATTGTAGTTTAGAAATAAGAGCGAAGGCTAATCTTATTCAATGTGCCACCTAACAGTGATGAGACATAATTTATAATAAAAAATTCCTCAAAACTGTAATCTGTGGCAATGTCTCTGAATACTCCATCATTTATCAAGTTTTCTAATATTTATTGATTACCACTAAGTTCAGAGTCTTCTGCAGAAAATAAAAAATGGGCCAAGGATACAGGTCAGTGGCACAGTGCCTGCCTGGCAGGTGTGAAGTTCTGAGTTTGAGACCCGGTACCAGAAAAAAAAAAGAAAAGACAGCAGAGATTGTTTATACTAGCACTCTGAATCTCAAGTCTTAGTAAAAATTTGTGAACAAACACAATGACATATAATAGATTTAGAATCAGATTACTAATTGCTGTGGGGATGGACAATTTCATCCAATTGTTTAATATGTAAATAATTAGTTGTACTAAAAAGCGACTCTTTCCTGATTTGTGATCAGAAGGAGCAGGCAGTATGACTTCTGAAAGTTCCCTTCCTAATGGAAAAAACTAAAATGGGTAAAGAGAAGGGCAATGTTTGGATCAAGAGGTTCTGCAACTCAACTGGTATGATCAGGGAAGGATTTATAAAGGTGACCAAGGCACGTCCCGTAAGAAGGAGGATTTTATATACAGTCCTTTTGATTTTACATATTATGTTCACACTAAATGCTTTTCACTTATACTTGTGTGGGTTAAGTTCTTTCTACTGTGTACATTGTATATGTGTTATCCATACACTGTAGGCTACAATACTCAAATTATTTAATAAGCAGTATGAAAGCATGGAGAGAATATGAAATCAAAGTTTTTTTAGAGCTTGGATATTTTCAAAATCTGCCTTCTTTTTACTTCCATCTCCTTTCTCAGTTGTTTTCTAATAAATTTTATTATATTTATTTATTTATTTAGTGGCTACCGGGAATTGAACTCAGGACCTCACACTTGCCAGACAGACACTGTGCCACTGAGCTGTATCCCTGGCCCTTTTTAATTACTTTTAAGTCTCATCTTCACACATGTTGGGTAAATTTAAAACTATTTGAAGCAAGGTAAAACTGTAAGCACCCACTAAAAGCCGAAATGATGAAATGCCAATAACAATTTACCACCGCCTATTAAAGAAACACAGGGTGTACCAGACAGTAAGCCATGATATTTCTTTTACAAGGATAACATATTGACTAGTGTGTTTTAAAAAGAGAGCCTTAAATTGTCTGAAAAAAAATGTTTCCTAGGTAGTTTAATATTACTCTGATGGACCTTTGAAGCAAAGTACCTCATAAATCAATTCTATCAGTGAAGACTCTTTCATTCTCCAAGGCAGCACGATTATGATATCTCAGTTTTATTAGAGTTAAAAGGAGCAGTAATCTTTAGAAGAGATTTAAATAGTTCCGAAAATTGCTCACAATAATTTTTGAGTAAAGCAGATTTTTTGACAGCAATACCAACGTGCACACACACACAAAAGTGATCTTAGTAGTCACTCTATACCATCAAAAAATAAGTCCTAAAGGTTTTGAAAATAAAATGCTTCAATGATTTAGTGATGTTCATTTCTATTTAAGAAAATTATGATT